GTCCATGCCCTGCCCCCCTCCCAGGCAACGCCCTGAAGACCAACATCACCACCCTGGGCCCCCTCGTGCTGCCCATCAGCGAGCAGCTGCTGTTCGGCGCCAACCTGGTGGCCCGGAAGCTGCTGGGCAAGAAGCGCCTGGACTCCTACATGCCGGACTTCAAGCTCGCGTTCGACCACGTCTGCATCCACACTGGTGGGGACAAAACCCGCGCTTCCGCCTTTCACCCCATCTCCTGCGCCGTGCCTGCTGCTGGGACCCTGCGTGCGGCTGTCAGTCCGCAAGTGCGACCGACGCGTGCTGCAGACTGTAGACCATGGTTGTGTCCCGTTGTTGGGATCAGCACGTTGAATTGTCGGCACGCCGCCGATCGGCACGACCTCGCAACCCCGCCGCGCTGCGGCCTCCCCTTCACAGGCGGCCGCGGCGTCATCGACGAGATCGAGAAGCAGCTGGCCCTCAGCCCCGCCATGATCGAGCCCAGCCGCGCGGTGCTCTACCGCTACGGCAACATCAGCAGCAGCAGCATCTGGTGCGCCGGGGGGGGGGGAGTGGGGTGGTGGGACGCCGTCGCCCGGCCCGGCGTGCGCCGTGGCCCAGAGCGCGTTCGAGGTTCTGGGTGCTGGGTTCCGCCCGGCGACGCAGCCTGTTTTTGTGGCATGCAAGTAGAGGTTTCATGTTTAGACAAGCCTGTCCGATGCCTTCTCTGTCCCCCTGCGATGGTTTTTCACGACATCATGTGCGCCGCCGCCTCACACCGCAGGTACGTCCTGTCGTTCATCGAGTCTGTGGGCGGCGTGCGCAAGGGCGACCGCGTGTGGCAGCTCGGCTTTGGCAGCGGCTTTAAGTGCAACAGCGCCGTGTGGCGCGCAAACAGGTGCGCCCCCCCCCCCTCGCCGCACCAAGCCGCGGCGCGCCACTTGCGTGCTGAGGGCGTCTGGCCTCCACGGCTTCCCGCAGCTCACAGCGTCTTGACCCTGATGTACCACAAATGATTTTTAGCTTCCTTGCCCATATTCCAACCGATGCCTACGTTGTCTCGTGGGTCATGCTCCTGCGTACTGACCCGAACTCATACGCCCCCGCGATCCGCCGCCGCGGTGCTGTCGCCGCACCCCATGCAGGCGCGTTCGCGAGGCGCACTACGCCTGGGAGGGCTTTGATATGGAGAAGATGCGGTCAGACCTCCACGCCCTCAACCAGCTGCACTGAATATCACCCACGCCCTCAACCAGCTGCACTGAATATCACCCCGCCGGCCGCGGGCCGCGGGCGCGCGGCGCCGCTCGGGGCCTGCTCAAGACTGCAGTCGGTCGTCATCAGCTCGCCTTCGGGCTGTATCAGGGCGCCAGACCCGTCAGCCAAGCCTGCCCCGTACATCAGCTGGATAGCCAGAGGCCGCACCCGCTGTGCGGCTCTGCTGGCCGGCGCTGCGGCGAGCTCCTGCCGCACGCAGACGGCCCCGGCGCACGCCGTGGTGGGCCGCGCCGGGCCGCGACCGCCGCGGTGGCTAGCGACATCGGACGGCCCCACATGTTTTCTCACAAGCGGCAAACTGAATGCGGCGCCGACAGGGCGTCTGGAACTCCCTTAGAGAGAGCACAGCACACCACACGGCTTGACCCCCTGGCTTCCTCCCCCCGAGCCACGAGGCTCGAGCCGCCAACCCGTGCATCGCCGCATGTGGCACCCATCGGCACCGATCTAGCCCGCCGCCTCCTCCGCTGCTCGCTTTTCGACCGTGCCCCTCTGTCGTCTATGGCTCCCGCTGATACGTGGGCCCCCCGGCCCCCTTTTTGCCGGGTCCGGGCGGGATGCACGAGACTAGATACCATTGATGCCATTCAGGGCCCATTCAGGGCTTGTTTCATTGTATCCAAGGGTGCCTTTGTTGTTGGGATTAGGAGTTGCCCAAGAAGCGTGGCGGGAGCTGCGCAGAGCGGCGTGCATTGGGGCGGCGGTCTGGCACTTCTCCCCCGGCAGCGACGCTCGGCTTTGTGCACTGCCCCTCTGCAGCAAAGGTGCGCCATGAACGACCGTCCGTTGCGGGCAAGAAGGGAGGTGCGGCCACCCCTATGGCCTTGCGCTGCGCCGCAGGTTCTCCATTACACACGGAGGTGCTCCCTGCCGGGAGAGCGGCTGAGGCGGTTGTTGCGCAGAGAGCGATGCAAGATCGGACCTGACACACAAGCCGTCTGCAAACGCCTCAACGTGTGCATTGTGCATACGGCCCTACTCCCTTTGCATCCGTTGGGAGCCTGGTGGCCACTGTTTTGTGCGCCCCCCCCAAGAGCCATAGCAAGCCTTTTTGGTCCGGGGCATGTTTTGTTGGTTCCATACGATGACAAATCACGACCACGCATGGAGCCTTCCTTGCGTGCCGCAGCGGATGCCGGCATGTGCGCACGCCGCCGCCGCTGCGTCGAGTTCATTTCAATGGACATGAACAATTTTAATTTCCTTGTACGTCTTGGGTTAGTGGGCCCCTTGGTGGGCTGCCTGCATCGGGCGCCCTGTGAGCTGGGCCAGCCTGCACCCTGCCTGCTGGGCACCCGCGGCTGCTTCCAAGCGCAACAAGCAGCCCCACCAGACAGCATTGTTCTTCCACCCATGTAGCTCATTGCTGCTCTTTTAGGCTACAATAAGCTGCGGGGGAACGGCTTGATGTTCGTGTTACACCACTTGCGGGTGCCCTTTGGTTCTTGACTGGTTTGTACGAGGTGATGGGCTCGAAGCTAAGGCCTCAGGCGGGCACACTCAGGAGGCAGCACACAGAACTGCTGTGTTGTGTTCAGCAGTGAAAGCGCCTTGCTTGCAATAGCGGCACGCTATGGGGAGGCAAGATCTATCGAAACCACCAAGCAGCCGACAAGCATCACCAAGGCAACCGCCATGGCTTCAGGCTCCGCCTGCCCACGGCCGCTCCCCCAGCGCCGCGATGCGCCGCGGCGCTGCGGCGACCTCCCCAGCCACACGCTTCAGCACGTGCCCAGACTCGCGCATCGTCGCACGCGCGCCCCGCCACCGCGCGTGGAACGCCGCCCACGCCCCTAGATACAGCGCGTCCCCAGCGGCCGCCAGGCTCCCGTTGTGGCGGCGGCGCGCGGCGGCGTCGAGCGTGCCGCGGCGGAGGGCCGACATGGTCCAGGCCGTTATGTTGAGGCCGACCACTGCCAATGGGAACTCCTGATCAGAGCTGCGGGGGATTGGATGGGGAAGGGACGGCACTTGGAATGTGGGACAACAACCTTTAAGCTTTGAAAACGTGGGGGTAGGCGCACGTGTTGACCTCCCAGCGCATGTGAGGTGTGCGGACGTCCGGCGCCATGATGGCCGCGTGCATGCCCACAGGCGTGCTGCGCCCGCTCAGGCCCCACAGCGGCCCTCCATAGGCTCCTCGCCGACCCCGCCGCACCATCTGCGCACCTGCGCGCGAGCCGCAGCAGCGCCGCCGCCCCGGCTGGGCTGCTCTGCGGTAGGTGCAGCAGCTGCAGCGCCCCCAGCATCCCGCAGCCGCGCAGGTCTGTCGCGGGGTCCTCCCCTTGGAAGCCGAGCTCTAACCAGTGCGCCCCGGGCCCCGGCACAGGCGGCGCGCGGCCAGTCCAGGACTGGAACAGGCCCTGCATGATGGACTGGTGGGTTGGGTTCCTCCAGTCGAGAGGCACCAGTCCGAGCGCGAGCAGCTGCACCCGCTGCTCCTGCACGGGCGCGCCGTCAAGCGGGCCGTCGCCGCTGGAGCCGCCGGCCAAGCGCTGCAGCGGCAGGCAGAAGCAGGAGTAGCGGCTGTGCGCCTGCCGCTGCGGCAGCGTCCGCTCTACCGCCGCTCGGCGCTCCGCAGTCACCGCGCCCCCTGCCTGCAGCGCCGCGCGCGCCGCACCGGCCGCCAACGGCGGCAGCTGCTGCTGCTGCTGCCGCCGCTGCGCCTCTGCCGCCGCGGCCTCTAACAGCTGCTGCTCCCGCAGCTCTCGCAGGCGCTGCTTGTTCGCCTCGTCCCACTCATCTGCAACCTCCTCACTTCCGTTCACAACCACACACGGCAAAGCGCATGCCTCTGAGCCTGCTGGCCGCAGCGCCTGTATGAGCTCAGCGCCACGCCCATTCCCTGGCGCCGCCCCGAGGCAGAGCGGCCCCTGAGCTGGCTTGTCAGCTGCAGGCAGTCCCGGTTGCTCTCGCACACAACCGTCGACAGCCGCCGCTGTTTCTGCACCGGGATGGCTCATTGCCTCGGACAGCCGCCTTGGGCCGGCACACCCATCGGTGCTGCCGCCGCCGCCGCCGCCGCTGCTGCTGCTGCTGCCGCCGCCGCCACTCCTGCTGCTGCCACTGCCGCCGACGCTGCTGCTGCCACCGCCGCCGACGCTGCTGCTGCAGCTCCTGCTGCTGCTGTTGTCCGTCGCAATTTGCTGCTGCTGCTCTTGCTGCTGCACCTGCTCCCCCTGCTGCTGGCTCTGTTCCTGATCCGGATGCTGCTCCTGCTGCTGCACCTGCTGCTGTTGCAGCGACTCCAGGGATTCCTGGCGAGGCGGCGCCGCCTGCAATTGGCCGCCTGCCGTCGCATCGCCGGCCTCCTCGATGACGCCCGCGCCAACGCTAGCCTCGGCCTCTCCCGCCAGTTCCGACTCGTCCTCGTCCCTGCCTTCCTCATCCGTCTCGGGCACAGAATCTAGCATCCTCAAATGCAGGATTGCCAGGAGGTGCGGCGGCATGCCTCCAGAGTGCGCCTCCAGCGCAACTGGGTCGTACGGCGCCGGGGCCTGCTGCCAGGCGGCCTCCTGGTGCACTTGCTCCTCATATGGCGGAGGGCCTGACTGCGCCTGCTGCTCCTGCTCCTGCTCCTGCTCCTGCTCCTGCTCCTGCTGGTGCTGGTGCTGGTGCTGCTGCTGCTGGGTGAAGCCCGCTGGCCGATGCTGCTGCTCCCACAGCTGCTGGTACTCCTGCCTGTGGGTGTGTATGAGGTGCGCCACGGCGTCGAGCCCGTGGCTGTGGCCGCCGCGCTCCGCGCCGTCGAAGGCGTGGTCAAACTCGTCGGCGGCGGCGCCGCCTCCTGAGGTGCCCGCGTCGCTGGCGCCGCCGCCGCTGACTGCGCTGCGGCACGAGGAGGCCTGGTGGATGGAGGGGGGGGTGCAAGTGCAATAAGCAGTTGCTTGGGATAAGCAGTGGGAAATGGTAAGCGGTGCAATGCAACTCAGAATTAAATCGTGACTGCATCATGGGACGCGTACGCTTCTTGATCTAGCGCACTCCAACCCTGCCCACCTGCAGTCGCACGTCCCCTTCGAAGACTGGCGGGGCGGGTGTGTGCGGGGTAGGCACCGGCTGGCACCCGTCCAGAGCGCTGGGAGTCTCCGCAAAGGCGCACTCAGTCGGCAGGAACCCAAACTCTGGGGGCAGCTGCAGCTGCATCGCCGGCGGCATGACCACAGGCGCAGCAGTTCGCGGTGGCAGCGCTTGCGGCGGGGCCGGAGGCTGCGCCGGCGATGGCTCAGCTGCCAATGCGCTCGGCGTGTCTCCCCTGTCGCCCCTGCCGGCGACGTTGGCAGTGGAACCTTCGAAGATGGATTCCTGTATCATACAATCTTCCTCGTCACCGCCCCTCTCGTTCGTTGCTCTGGCTGCCGCTGCGCTTGAGCGTGTGCTGGTGCCCAGGCCGCCACCATCCGTGCTGATCATCGTTGCACCCTCCTGCCGCTCCTTGCCTGGCTCAGCATGCCCCTCTTCTAATATGTCAATATCTACAGATTCAAATGCCATGCTGAACGGGGCCTTCGTCCGAAGCAATGCTTGGGCCGCTGAATCTCCAGTAGCAGCACTGCAGGCGCAGCGTGCAGGTCCTGCGCCCCCCGCGCACGGATGGCAGCGCCAGGGCCACAGACTGCAGCCAAGATTTTGTGTTCACCGTAATCCAGCACGCTGGGCCTGACTGTGTGGGCTCGCCGATGCGCAGTCAAAAATATGCCAAGCACTGACGAAGATCGAGGTACATCTTGGTATACCTAGACAAAGTAGTATAAAAGTATTACATATGATTTCATGTATGGAAATGACGTTCTTGTCGTGGCCGGTCCAGCTTGGAGGATGAAACCGCGACTTCTACCGTACTGCTTTGCCTTCCACAGTCGAGCTTAAAGTGAAGGTTGTGGTTGGAAAGTTGATTTTAGTGGTTTAGCTTTGATTGTCACTCGTGAGGGCTCTTTTGCCTCTGCATGGCAGGTTGCACAGTTGTGCCATGCTGAGGTGGCATCCCGGATGCATCGCCTGCAGCGCCTTGGCGTACGTAAGCACATCTCTTGGAGTCAAGATGAGGCTGGTGTTTTTTGTCAGAGTGCTCTCGACTCAGGCGGGCTCTAGCACCGAGTTCCCAGATGTGAAAGAGCCGCCTCCCCTTGATACAGTACATCAAAATCATTGAATGCATCGGACGTGGGGCAAAGTGAAATCAGGCTGTCCATTTTCAGGCTCGCTGGGTTTCATCTTATGAATATCTCAATAATTTTGCACCAGTTGTACTGCCATAGGGTGCCATGCGTTCGTGCCTGTGTCTGGTCCGGTCTTCGAGTCATACTATTGACTGCAAGCAAGTGCATACAAATGGCGACTTCACCACTGGGCACTCCAATCTGGAACGGGCGACTTGTGAGCAGCAATGCACCGCCCGTTGTTGGCATCCCTGCTTGACCAATCAACCGTGGTACATTTTGTTGCATGCTCTGCAGTGCTGCACTGTCTCATTGCCAGACCACATCGAACAAGAATGGTAGCCGGGCAACGCTCGCGCACCTGAAGCACCTAGTGCTGCATCTCAGGTGCAGTCCAAGTGGTTACCAGTGCTCTGCACAGCCTCAGCTCACCCGGCAAGGTCATCACGGAGCAAGCTCGGGGACAGGCGCACGCGTTGGATGGCCGGCCGGCAGCCCAGCAAAAGCAGGGGCACGCTGGCTGCCGGACGGTGACCAAGCTTCAAATGCTGTCAACTCTCCAAAAAGCAAACGAAGGGGCGGGACGTGGCCTGCCTGTACCCTGGCGAGGGAACGTCAAACTCCAAGACCCTCAAACACACGGGGACAAGCCAGCGGCCAGTCGACCTCTGCGCTCAATACGACCCAGTATGCCGGGCACCCCACCCCCCATCGCCCGCGTCATCAGTCGTCCTCCTCAAACATGGGCCGCCGCCGCTGGATCGTGATCTTGCTCGATTTGCTGGCCTGCTCGCTCAGCTGCTCCAGCATGCCTCTCAATCGCTCCTCGGTGACCTGCGGCGGGCCGAGTGGTGGGTGACAAGATCAGCCACCAGGTCATATGCCCCAATGCAAAGAAGCATCCTGCAAGGCCGCAATCTTGAAGTCAACAAAAGCTCCAAGCATGCGCCGCAAGCGCAGCGGCGCCGCTTGCACCGCCAAGCGGCGGCGCGGGCCTGGCGGCGGCGCGATGTGGCGCCGCCGGCGCGCCGAGCGCGGTGCGCACCTTCTCGGTGATGGCTCCGCGCTGCGCCGCGCCAAGAATCATGTTTTCGACACTGCGGGCCTTGTCCGGCTTTACCAGCGCGATGCGTGCGACTGCATGGAAGGGCCGGGGCGACGGTGCGGTGTGTGTACGTGGTGGTTGTGTGTGTGTGTGTGTGTGTGTGGAAAGAAGTACATGTGAATGTGTGTGCGTATGCAGATTACAGATTCCACAGGCCTTGAGATGAGGTCACTTGAGCGTGGGAGCTGCGGCCTGACTTGGGATGCCCCGCCCCTCTCGACACGCCGCAAGCGTGCCGGCTGCCGCGCCACTCACGCCGCTCCCGCGCCTCGGGCATCATCACCGCCACCAGCATGGCGCGTCTCTGGTCCTCAGCCGCCCTGCAGAAGGTCCGGCATACAACCAGAGTCAGTCCGCAGCTCGCTGGCACAACACAATGGCCTCCATTTGACAGACCGCCTGAACCTGCTCGGCAGCCCACCTTGGGCGCGTTGCCCAGGCAGGCGAGCTCCGACCTCAACAAACGCGGATTGTGCTCACTGCTTCTTGGCCTCCTGCTCCTCTGCCTCCTCTGGGCTCATCGGTCCTGGTGGGCCGCCAGCAGGGCCGCCCCCTTGACGCGCGAGCTCCGCCATGCGCCGCTGCCGGATCGCTGCGAGCTCCGGGTCCTCCTAGCGAGAGCGCAAATAATCCGCAAAAGAGATCTGGGTCCATGTCATCGGCCGAGCAAGCCTACAAGAAGCCACGCAAGAGTGCGTCCCGGTGCGCGCCACTCTGCCAAGCCGTCAGCCGCGGGTTGCAGCGGCTCACCATGTGCAAAACTGATTTCAGGTCAACCGCGCGATCGCGTGAGCCTCTGCACAAGTCGCCAAGTGATCAGATCGTAAATGTCGAAGAAGTTTGTACCGTGTGTGTCTCCTTTAAATGTAACAGCATGTAAGAATGTATAAGAGCGCAAACATACTAGTCCAAGATGCAACATACCGTCTGATATGAGAGAGCACGCTGTTCCTGCAACTCGCTTCAAGACCCGTAAGAAAAAAATGCGGGCTGGAACCTGAGTTTTCCCCAGTTGATTTGCCTATATCAGCTGCTTGAGGTCGCGCGCAGCATCCATGAGGGGGCGGGGGCCGTAGCGCTGACAACACGCTTCCACCCGCAAGCGCGGCGATGCTTTGACCGCACCCTCAGCACGAGCAGCGGCCGCCTGTTTCCAAGGCGATGAGCGCCGGGAGGACGTCCCGTGAACATGGGCTCTCAGACGCCCGGTTGGCCGGCACGCTGCCCCCGGTGAGGCATTCATGGGCAAGGGAGCTCCTTCCTGCCACCGCCGCATGCGTGACTCCCCGGAACGCGTGACCGGCGGACCCATGCACCAACAGATCGTTCCGGCCGCCGCTCCCTCGGATATCATATTGTAGCGCGGATTGGACGCCACCGGCGTGCACCCTGTGCCGCTCAAGCGCACCGGCGGCGGCTGCGGCCCTTCGCAGCCCCCGACCGAGCGGCCCTCCGTGGGGAAGCTGGAGCAGGGCGCTGTTGCCAGCCCCGGCGCGCTGCTCCGCGCCGCCAGATGCCAGCCAGCCCTAAACGAAGGAAACAAACTGTTTGCAGCCGAGCGAGGCGCCAGCTACGCACCCCTGTCGCAGGCTGGGGGTGGTGGCAACAGCCAACAGCGAAGCCGGCCATGCATCCCGGCAGGACCGAGCGGCCAATCTGCAGCAGCTAGCGCGGCGGGGCAGATGCCAGAAGCGGCTGCTTGTGCGACAATCGTGAAAAAGGTGCAGTGGAGCTCTGTGGAGCAGCAGGCGCTGGCCAAGCCCGCCGCTGCGCCAGAGGGGCTTGCACGGCAAACGGAGCCGCAGCATCTTCAGC